CTTCCCCTCCCTCCCTCCCTCCCTCCCTTCTCTCCCTCTCTTTCATCACATTTAGACAGACCTTACCTATTATAAAGGTGTGAACTATAACCAATCTTCCTATGGTGTTTTCACTACTTCTTGTCTCTTTTTGACTTTTAATGCTTTGATGTAGCTTGCCTTGATCACATGATATGAGATCTGGGTTCAACCTAATCTTTCTCCCCAGTTGAATATAGACTTGTCTAACCGTCTATGGAGGAGTTCATTCAGGAAGCCCAAATACCTACCTCTGCATGTTCTCGGCGTCCTCAATGGTCTCAGGCAGAGCCTTCCCTTTGGTCTCAGGTAGCAACAACACAAGTCCCCCAGCAACAAGGCCAACTACAGCTGGGACACAGATGTGGATTGCATCAAGAACCAGAAAGGTAGTCTCTATAATTGGGGTTTCTCTTGTTTCCCTCTCCCTTTCGGGGGCTGGGGGTATGTTTTCCCATTCTTATTTATAGACTCCTTTGCCAACTTTCAACACCCTGTTTTCCATCATAAGTAATGTACCCAATGCCAAGTGCCATTGGGTTACAATTCCTTTTAGGGAAATGAAATACTTAACATTTTGAGTCAAGGTTTATTCCAGGCCACAGGACATCGCCGCAGTGTTGAGAAAATTCAGAGTTAGAAAATAACTCTGAAAAAACTTAACCATATGAAGAAGAACACAACTCTGCCAACAGAAAGCACTTGGCATTGGGGACAGGTCAGAAACTCGGACCATTGCTAGCTAGCAAGAGTAATTGCATCAGGACTGGCAAGATGGCCCAGTGGGTTAGGGTGCTTTCTACTAAGCTTAATGCTGTGAGTTCAAGTTTAGTTCAAGTTCAGATGTTTAGAGCCGAGAATACAGTGGTACTCCCCGGTAATTGTAGCATCTAGGAGACTAAGGTAGAAAGATTGTGAATTCAAGGGCAGTATGACCTACCTAATGAGGCTGTCTCTGTGCTAATTAAAAAATTAAACATTTTATTTTATGTGTATGGGTATTTTGCCTGCATATATGTCTGTGTACCACATGGTACAGTGCTGCTGAGCCCAGAAGAGAGCACTGGATTCTCTGGCAGATGTTAGTAGCTATCTGGCTGCTGGGAACCAAATCTAGGCCCTCTGCAAGAACAGCCAGGACCCCTAACCACTGAACGCTCATTGAGTCCCTTGGTTAGAAGACGGGCCCTCTGGGGTTGGGGATTTAGCTCAGTGGTAGAGTGCTTGCCTGGGAAGCGCAAGGCCCTGGGTTCGGTCCTCAGCTCCAGGAAGAAGAGGAAGAAGAAGAAGAAGAGGAAGAAGAAGAAGAAGAGGAAGAAGAAGAAGAAGAGGAAGAAGAAGAAGACGGGACCTCATTTGAGTAATTGCCCACATCAGATTGGCCTGTGGCTACATCTGTGAGAGATTTTCTTGATTGATAATTGATGGAGGAGGGCCCAGTCTGCTGTGGACGGTACCATTCCTAAGCAGGTGGACCTGGGCTAAGGTATCAAGGAAGCCGGAGAATGAGCCCGGAAGCAGAGTTCCTGCCCTGACTTCCCTCAGTGGTGGACTGTGGTGGACTGTGACCTGGAAGTATAAACCCTTTCCTCCCCTACATTGCTTTTGGTAAGAGAGTTTTTATCACAGCAACATAAAGGAATCTAGAACAGTCTCAACCCCTCTGGGTGTAGCTAAGTGGTAGAGGACTTGCTTAGCATGTACAAGGCCCCCGGTTCAGTCCCCAGCATAGAAACTAATGTGGGCCCAACTCAGGGGTAGCACGTTTGGCTGCACATGGCCACTCACCTGTTTTTGTTTTTGTTTCAGTCTCTAGTTATAATTTTTAATGACAGCCATATTAATATTTTTGTTTTCTTTTAATTCATATTGGAGTTATATAACTCCAATATGTGTTTTGATTTTTTTCTGTGACAGAGTATAGGAAATGGGGTGCCAGTTCTTCACTAGTTTGGGGTTTCAGAGAAATGCATGCTGGATGCTATTTCTCTTTAGATACAGCAGAAATGGGACCATGGGCGCTGAGCTCAAGCAAAAGCCCAGTGCTGGGCATCTGGGTCCAGCTCTGACTCCTGGCTGGTCTGAGGACCTGGGCAAGTCCTGAGAGTGCTCTGACTTTCTGTCCTTTGCCAAGTGACACCATCTACCTCACATAACCATGGTATGAACTGTCGATGTGACTGAGAATAAGTAACTTCTCTGAATCTCTCAGACCTCCAGCGTGATCCATGCTGTAATGAGTAACAAATGCCAGCCAGACTCTACTTCAGCTGAAGGTGAGTCCCCTCCCTTTACGGGCTTTTCTCTACCTAGATGTGACAGGTAGCTTTAACTGTCATCCTGACATGGCCTAGAATCAGGGAAGAGATGCTCAGTGAGGGTTTGTCTACACTGGGTTGGCCTGTGGTGTGTCTATGGGGGATTGTCTTAATTGATGTGGGAAGACCAGCCCACTGTTGGTGGTACCATTCCCTAAGCAGAGGGTTTTCAGTTGTATAAGAGTTGGAAAACTCATGTGAGCGTAAGCAAGCATCCCTTTGTCTCTGCTCCTGACTGCCTGTGGATGTGTGACAAGATGCTCGGAGTTACTACCTTGACTTCCCCGCACTGTGACCTAGAATTCTAAGCTAGCATCAGCCCCTTTTTTTCCCAATGCTACTTTTTGTCAGTGTATTTTGTCCTGGCAACAGAAATGAAACTAGACCAGTGGCCCAGATCCTTCTGCACCTGCTTCCCCAAGTGCTGGGGTCACGGGAATACCCCACACACCACTCTAGCTCCAAGTCTCTAAAGAGGGTATAGTCTAGTGAATAGCAGATCACAGATTATCATTTTATCCATGCAAGGATCAGCCTTGCTAACCAGGATGGCATTACCCGCTTTCCCTGTGAGCTTTATCTGTTTTGTCCTGCTGTTGTGGATGGAACCAGGGCTTTGCCCATGCCAAGCAAATGCTGTGCCACTGAGCCCTCCAGTGGGCTGGCTCTTCGCCAGTATTTTTAGGCTTCTTAGATGAAGAAGAAAAAGGAGAGAGAGAGAGAGAGTGCACGAGAAAGAGAGAGGGAGAGGGCGAGAGAGGAAAGATGTTAGAATCTTAGTTACCTTCCTGCTACCAGGTTATAGATGGGCAAAAGATGACAAAACCCTAGCAGAGGTAAATGTGGGACTGCCTTTAGGTTTGCTATGATCTTGGAAACACAGCTCTGTCCTCTGTGCCCTCCAGGGGAAGGTGAGGTGGGACAAGGGACTGCACTATTTCATATGGGCCTAGACTTTTCTTAGACATGCTAAGTAGTGGTTGCAGAAACATGGAGCCCCTTTTGGCTGTCCAGAAATGTCCTGCTGACCCCTCAGCCACCACCTACCAAGGATCAGGCATCTCTAACTCCTACCTGGAGAGGAAGAGTTGTGCACTTCCTGAGGAGGAGGGAGGCTCTGGGACAGGCCCCCTCAGCCAGTGCTTGGGAGTCAGAGATTTGGGGCACGTGCCTCCCGTCAGTGGGCCTGGTAGCTCTGGTTATCTCAGGGTAAAAAGCCTGTGTGCTATCAGTGTTGGCCATCTTGATACTATGATGGGATGTGGAGGAATTTGCTGGGTCTGTTTTGATGGGAAGTTATAGCAACAGCTTGAAACTTGCATTGGCAGGTCTTCCAGCATGGAAAACTCCCCCCCTCACAAATCCCTTGAGCACAAGGCGAGGGAAGGAACAACCCAGGGTAAGTGGAGGGGGCAACATGCAACTCCAAAAAAGTAGTATTGGGTCCATCTGCCACAGAGTCCAGGGGAAAAGCCAGGGTGCTGTGCCCCGGGAAAAGGGCGGTTTTAATTAAGCCTAAAATCGCCTCAGTGGATCTGAAAGCAGTCTGAAATGGTACCCTGGGGCACTTCAGGTACCCCAAGCAGGGGAACGTAAGTCTGGGTCTGAATCCAGTTATCCCTGCAGGCACACACAGGCAAGCAGCTGCCGGACAGTCTGCAGCTGGGCAAAGGGCAGCACAAAGTGACTGGATGGGGGTGCCCAGGGTCCCTCGGACCCTTTCAGATTTTGTGATCAGCAGTTGGTAGAGGCTGGCATACTCTACCCACTAGCAAGGGCAGGTGGGTGGGGGAGGCTAGGATGCAACTGGGCAATTAATCGCTATTAGCTCCTAGCTCCCCTGGCAGTAGCAGAGGGGACAGCGTCATGCCTCATCCTGAACTCTGCTGGGGAAAGGTAGGGGCGGGGTGAGAATCAACATATGGGCTCCATCCTGTTGACACATTTTATTAGCTGTGAATCCTGTATTATCTGCGCTTTGAAATTTTACAGACTGTCTTTGAAGCAGGGAAGTAAGAGTGCCTTGGGAATGGAGACAGCAAGGGTTCATTCTTTTCCAGACCTGAGAGGGATGGCTATCACTGGAGAGGGAGCTGGGGTGCTTCAGGGAAACGTCTTTCCGCTTCATCCACCTTCAATTCATCCTCCTATGGTATCAGTCCCCTAGCTCAGTGGTAGGACTGACATGGAAGCATTAAAATAATACTAGTCCTATTGCCGATCACTAGTAATTAAACCTTATGGAGATTTCTCACCGAACACTACCAGTGGGAACTCCAGCCAGATGTCGGTGAGCCGGTAGACCAGGAAAGGTGTGATGATGCCACCAATGTCACACATGGACGAGCAGACAAGGACGCCAAGATTCCTAAAGCACAGAAAACTGATTTAATTCTTTAACTTCTTATGGGGCAGTAGTTACCTCTCACTGTTCTCCTAGATAATTGCCTTCCCCAAACCATTAGCTGTCCTAGAACAGAAAAAAAAAACCAAACCAACATCGATTCTGTGCATTTCAATGGGTAGAAATGACATGTGTGCATAATCTCACCCATGGTCTGTTGTTTTTGTTTGCTGTAAGCCTTCAGGCTGGAGAGAGAGTGGCGTTCACATTTCCCCCCATCATGGGCCTACCCATGCCATGTCTATGCTTTCCACAGATCCACTCATCTGCTCTGGTCACTCTCTACATGGTGGTCTTGCTCCTGTGTCCTGTGGCTTCCGAGACACTGAGTGTGAACTGCTGGCTGCTGCCTTTGAACGCCCCCCTGTGCCCCCCTGTGCTTTGAGAAGTAAGGCTGTCCAGCCCGAACCCAAGTGTCCCCACTCACCTGATGTATGTGGGGTACAGCTCAGCGTTGACCAGGCAGACCATTTCGTAGGCCATGGTGATGCCCATTCTACCCATGCATGCAATGGTGATTTTCAGCCACTGTAGATCTGAGAGGGGAAACCCAGCAGTCATCCACTCTGCACATGGTTGCTTGTCCTCAAACACTGCTCCAGAGAGGGTTTGTGAGGACAAACTCCACATTGCAGAATGAGATAGGGAAGCAAGGATCGTTCTCTACAGATGTGAGATGATAAATGTAGCAACCTCTGCCGATCTGGATGTGCGAACCGTAGAGGCAGTACTAACATTCTGTGTGTGCACGTGCATGCATGTGCATGTGCATCAGATGTTGGGGTTATGTGTCTTCCTATGCCTCGTATAACAAGGCAGAATTGTTCCCTTGAACCCAGAGGTGACCCATTCAGATAGTCTAGCTAGCCAGCTTACTCTAGGGATTCTACGTCTTTGCCTCCTAAGTGCTGAGATGAGTCCAAGCCTGCTGACATGTATGTGGGTTCTGAGGATCTGAATTCTGGTCCCCATGCTAGCACAGGAAGTGTGTTTCACCCATGGAGCCATCTAGCCAGCACAAATAGTCTCTCTCTTTCTCTCTTTTTTTAAATGTGGCCCTGGAGAGATGGCTCACTGGCTAAGAACACTTGCTGCTCTTACAAAGGACCCAGGGTTGGTTCTCTGCACCCACATCAGGCCTCTCACAACTGCCTGCAACTCTAGCTCCAGGGGACCAGACACCCTCTTCTGCATCTATGTGCATACAGACACACATAAAATATACATATACATAAAAATCTTAAAGTAAACTTAAGTGTAGCATAGGTGCCTAGCAAAGTGGACAAAGTACAGATTTCCCACAGTTCCCCTCCCGCATGCGTCGGGCCTCCTCCATCCTCAATATTCCTCTCAGGGTAGACGACATCTATGACAGCTGATGAGTCTGCACTGATAAATCACGGTCACCCAGAATCCATCGCTGACCCAAGGAGCTACTCTAAGTAGGGCTGGACACAGGCACAATGCATGTCCCTGCCATTATGTCACACAGAGTGTTACCTGCCCTGAAAGTCCTCTGCCCCTTACCTCCACCCCACCCCCCCACTCCTGGACAGTCCTGATCTTTCTATTGTCTCCACAGTTCTGCCTCTAAGAGTTTTGTATCTTTATACCTCAGCTCTTAATGGTAGTATGAGGATGCCGGATACTATCAGAGAGGTTGCCCCAGTTAACCAGTAAAATGAAGCCTGGGCACATTGTAAATGATTGCTGGTCTACAACAGCCTCAAATGAAGTTCCGGGTGGCTAAAAGCATTGTTTCACGGGCTTTTGTCCCTTTTCCCAAAGAAACATTTTGTGTGGAAAGACATAATGTAATTACTGATGGCATGGGAACTTTCTCATTTACAGTGCAGGGTTAGACAGAGGTCAAGGGAGGTGCTAGAATGTTCTAGAGCAAAGCTTTGGTGCTAGGCCCGAGTTCTTCAAACCCCTCTGCTCTCTGAACCTACCATCAGGGATAAAAACCGAAGCCAGACAGGCCGCTCCTGCCACCATATTTGACGCAGCCCAGGGATAGCGACGGCCAACCCTGTCTATGGTCAGGATGATGAGGAAGGCAGCTGGGAATTCCACCAGGGCAGAGTAGAAGAAATCCAGGTAGATGTTGCCTCCCGCGAGGCCCATGTGCATGATGAGGCCCTGGTAGAGAACAGAGCTCGTGAACCTGAGCAAAGAGGAGAGCCATGGTCAGGCTGAGCGCCGGGCTCACACTGCTGCCGGGAGAGGACCAGGGGCAGATGAGGAGCTGGTGGTGGTGGGGGACCTTTGCCTGTGGCGTTTTCTCGGCCATCCCAGCTGTGCCACTGTCCTTATACCCACTGCTTTACCGTGACTGGTGGGACATGAGAGGCAGAAACCTGGAAACAGTTGGGGGAGCATCCCATTCACTGGTCCAATGAGAAGCTGAGAGGTCTTGATGATGGAGTAATTTAGTGGAATCATAGCCAGTGGTTCATGGCTGTCTATCTTTTTCTCTTTGCTTATATGTATCTATTATTTGCGTGTGTGTGTGTGTGTGTGTGTGTGTGTGTGTGTGTGTGTGTGTGTGTGTGTAAGTATTCCTGTGTGTGTGAAGGCAAATGTATAGGCCAGAAGTCGATACATTTCTCTCTACTTCGTATTTTGAGATAGACCCTCTCTCACTGAGTCTGGAGACCCTGGTTTTCTAGGCTGTCTGTCCATCCAGCCCCAGAGATCCTTCTGTCTTCACCTTCCCAGCATGAGGTACACACCTTCAGATCCGGCTTTTTATGTGGCACTGGGGATCCGAACCCAGGTCCTCACGCTTGTGTGGCGGCTTACCCTCTGAGCCTCCTCCCAGTCTCTTTGTGGTCTTCTAAAGCACTTTGGAAGTAAAGACCTGACTACTTAATTCAGATTTCATGAACCCAAAGACCCAATGTATGTAGCCTCCCTTCTCAATAGTTTCTCCCCTGGCCTGGTGCAACGAGCCTTCTGAAAATGTTTCTAATTTTGTTAACTTAAAATAATGGAAAAATCTGAGGCTGACGGGCAAGGTTAAGTATTCAGAGGGAAAGGAGAGTGTGGCCAAAGGTCAAACTGCCCGTGCCACGCAGTCCTGTGACGAATGTGGCTTTTGCTAGCGAGGGCAGGACTTTCTGCAGCCAGTGTGAGGGCAGCGCTCACTGTGGGGGAGGTTCCTCAGCATGGAGGCCCCCACACTGGCATGCACGGCTCTAAGGGTGTCTGTGCACAGCCAGCCCTGAGAAGCTCCGGTTCCTGCGTTGTGAAGTGTAGCATGAGTCTTAAAAGGTCTTATTAATTAAATCAAACCTGAGGCCAGTTATTGGGGTGAATGCTAGAATATCAGAGAGACAGAACCAGCCACAGCTTCCTCACCTTGCCAATTCCTCAGCTGGTCCTGTTTCCTCAGACTGGAAGCCTCTGAGTCCTCATCTGAATGAATCTCAGCTGAACTGTGCTGCTAGAAGCCCGAAAGCTTAACCAGCCAAATGCTTCTAGTTCCTGATCTTCATGCCTTATGTATCTTTCAGTTTTTGCCATCACTCCCTGGGATTAAAGGCTCACTTCCTGGGACTAAAGGCGTGTGTCACCATGCCTGGCTGTTTCCAATGTGGCCTTGAACACACAGAGATCCAGAGGGATTTCTGCCTCTGGAATGCTAGGATTAAAGGCATGTGCTACCACTGCCTATCCTCTGTTTAATATTGTGGCTGTTCTGTCTCTGACCGCAGATAAGTTTATTAGCGTGCACAATATTTTGGGGAACATAATACCACCACAGTGAAGTCAGTGCTGAATTCTTCATACAGCCCTGGGGGGGGGGTGTTTCTGTTTGTTTATTTTCCCCTCCAGGGACAAGGAGGGAGGAAGAAGGCTTTCCTCACTGGCTCTGTACATCTGTGGAGCTCTGCACTCAGGGTCTAATAATCTATACTAATATTTCTCATTTTGGATTATATATTAGAATCACTTGAAGAGTTCAAACAAACAAACAAACAAACAAAAAAAAAAACACTGGTTGCTGGGTCACAGCCATGGCTCCTGCAATGTTTTTACACCCCAACTGCTTTTCACCCAAGAAATTTTTATGACACTCTGGGTATATGGGAATATAAAATAGGCATACAAAGCCACGATTTACTGATAATCATAAAAATGTATTTTAAAATAATTCTTTGGTCTCTGTGTAACTTTACCATTTATTAAGATGAAAGCAAATTTGTATATTAGTGATATGTATAAAACATGCTTATTTTTAAAAATATTTATTTATTTTCAGTTTGTGTGTATGGGTGCTTTAAAAGCCTGCATTTGAGTGCACTGTGTGCATGCCCGGTACCCATGGAGGCCAGGAGGTGAGGACCAAACTCTTGGAAATGGAGTTACAGGTGGTGTGAACCACAGTGTGGTGCTGGGAACCAAACCCAGGCCCGCTGCAAGAGCCACAAGTGCTTTTTAACCACTGAGCCATCTCTCCAGCCCCACATTTATTTTCATGTAAATAATTAAATATTGAGTGTTTGATGCTGCAGGACAAAGGGCATCTTCAATATTTTTCAGAACTGACAAATACTTTTATAGGCGTCAGTCCAACGAATGCCATGCCGCATAAATCCATAGCACAAAACAACAGAAGCATGTCGAGTACCACTTCATAAGTGGTTGGAAATTCTGTCCGATTCCAAGCCAAGATTCACATGTGTCTGAAGAAAATGTTATCAGGCAAACCTGCTCTCCGTGAGCTGCACACCAGCATCTGCTGTTGATGCTAATCTGGGGAGAGGTGATAATTTGAGGTGTGTTTCTTCCTCTCTTTAATGTGGGTGACTGTGGTTGCAGGGATGTAGAGGAATTTTAAGGTAAAGCAAAGGAATGTCTTACCAGTTGTACATCAAGATCAAAGTATGTTTCCTTATCTGAGGGGTTCTGACCAAGTCCAGGAATGAAGGGTTCAGCTTCTCGCCCGCATCCTCATCTGCTCTCAGGCTCTAAGAGCAAGAAGGATGTTTTCTGTTAGAAGGGGGTCTCTGGGTCCTAAGGAGAGCAGCAGCCGTATCTAATAGTGAGCATCCATCATGGACTCAGTTCTATGTTGGCCATAGAGCACACTGTCTTATTTAATCTTTACCCTAGAAGTTAGGGTCTATTTTTCACTCTGTTGCACTCTGGGACATAGAGTAGTTAGGTTGCTCACAGCATGTGATTTGTAAGGTACGCTGGGGGACCACAGAGACCCAGCTCTGCGGTCCTGAGTGGTTCCTCTGGACCAATAGGAAGGAAGCTCAGGTCTGAGCCCTTGACACTGAGACCAGCACCACCATCACTTGGAGCTCAGGAGGAACATAGTACCGGGAGGCTGAAGAGACGGCGCGGCAGCAAAAGCACTTATTGTCCAAGCATGAGGACTGAGCTCAGATCCCCAGAACCCATCTAAATGCTGGCCGGGTGTGGCCGCTGGCCTGTGATTCCCAGAGCAAGTTGGCTAACAAGACTAGCCTTATCAGTGAGCTCTAGGTTTGATTGAGTGACCTTGCCTCATTAAGTAAAGTAGACGAGGGATCAAAGATGATTACTGACATCAAATCTCAGGTCTAACCTCCCCCAACCTCCCATACACAATCGCCAAGCCTCTTCAATCCAAAGTCATGTAAGTGTCAAAATCTTACAGTTAACCCATGTCACATTCTCATTCAGAATTTTTTTACTCTTATCTTGACATAATTTTCATTTATTTTCTTTTGAAATGGAGTCTCTGAGTAGGCTAGCCTTGAACTCACTATGTAGCCAAGGATGACCTCAACTGCTGAGCCTCTGGCCTCCACCACCTCCAAAGTGCTGGAGTTATAGGCACGCACACCAAAGCTTTCATGCAGCTCTGGGAATTGAACCCGGGGCTTCATGCGTGCTAGGCAAGCGCTCTACCAGTTGAGCTACATCTCAACCCTTGACACACTTTTCTAACACAGTCCATTTCTCCTTCCCAGCCCCATCAGATGAAAAGGGTTGAGTTCAGAGTGATGAGACCTACTAAGGTCAAAATCTGAAGCACATACCAGATGGCTGCATCCGCAATTCTTCCAATTCTAGGAAATGATTTGTGTTCGGAACTCTGCCTTGTGGACCTAGAATCTGACCTGGGAAGCTGGGCATGCGGGAGACAGCACATTTGCTGGTGGAGCAGCCAGCAAGACCTTAATAGAAACAGCTCCTCACTGACTTATTTTAAAAAATCTGGTTTATTTTTGAGTCTGACTTTTGCTGTCTTGTTTATTCTCCCAGGGAACACAAATCTTGTGTACAAAATAGTCTATTGTATTTTCCTACAGTGTGGCCAAAAATGCAAAGGGGTGGGTCCCGTGCCTCTCCGGTGGGATGGCTAGCACACATGACATGTTTTCCATACCCTCCCTTCTCACTATCCCCCAGTTGACACCCGAGGCCTCAACTCACCTGAAAAGACACTGGCATTGGTTTTCCGTTTTTCTTAGCAATGTGCTTAATTATCTTCATGGCCTTTGCATTCTTGTTCTGGGAGATCAGCCATCTTGGAGATTCGGGTATGCACCTACGGTATAAGGGGAGGGGAGGGGTGCCTTGCTGTCTCCCCACTGCCAATACACACAGTTGAGTTTCTGGGTGCATCTTGCTCAGGGAGGAGGTTCCGTTGGATCGACCTAGGACGCCAAGGCCGCTGTGCAGAGCACACAAGGCTCTGTCCTTCCTTAAGTGCTGATTTGCAGCCAGCCTGTGTCCGGGATGCCTTGAGGCCTCCTCAGAGACTCCTAACCTCAACAGCAGTGAGTGAGCTGCTAAGCAGGGTGCAGCTGAACATGTGGCTTGTGTCACCACGAGGAGGGGTGGGCCTCTGGGCGGGCCCCAGACCTTGTGTGGGCCTGAGAACTCCGGTCAAAGGACAGAGGTGAGAGCTGCAAATCATCATGGAAGGAAGCAAGGATATATCTGGTATATACACACATATATATTAAATATCATGTGATACACAGTTGAAATATTATATAACTATATATTATAAATAATAAAATATATTGCACGTCGATTATACCATGTTGTATGTTTTTTTTAAATGTATTTTATGCTGAAAAATGACATAGTCTTCTGAGGTCAGAATGCAGAAACTGAACGGTTTGAACTTGACCTAGCAGGCTTAAGAACCCCCACAAGTCCTAGGGTGCCGCTCTAAGCAAGGGCCCTATGTCCTGACCTAGCAGGCTCAGGCAGCCCATCTAAGTAGTCCCCAGGGGCCCGTGTCTTGAAGTGTTCAGAGCAGTGATCCGGGTAATGGAGGTGGGGATGGAAGAGGATGGGCAGCTAGCCATGCTGGAAGCTAGAAGGGCTGGGTTAAAGGGTTAAGGGCTGGAAGCCTTGGTGGCTTTCTGCTCTGGGAAAGGTAGGGTCTGATGAGACCTGGGCTGGATCTTTCTATCGAAGGGCCATGTGGAGAGGGCCATAGCGACTCCTTGGTTAGAGGGGTAGAGACCCAGAGTGTGGTCTGCTCAGCAGCAGCCAAGCCCTGGGATGCTGTAGGACTATTTTTCTAGCTGCCCATGAAAAGTTCTAGGGGCTGCTATTGCCTGCACTTGGGCAGGGGAGCAAAGAGGTGTGGACTTGGGAGGAGGTAGGAACCTGGACAGCTTGAAAGTGGGATAAGTGGGTGGTCCAGGCTTTCCTGGGAACACCAGGGGAGGAGACACTGGCTCAACCCAAGCTGAGATGTGTGGGCTTTGGGCTCATTCTACAGCTTGTTGGAAGCACATATAAGGGTTATCTGTGGTCATGTGACGTTTGGACAGTCCCTGGGGCCTGACTGTGGGAATGCCTGGGACAGGAAGCTACCACAGAGCCTGGTGTTTCCTGACCTACAGAGATGCAGCCACAGGTTTACTGATGGGGCCTCCAAGCCTGGGAAGTAACTGTGGGAGGTTTTATGGAGATGGAGATTGATGAGAACCTGCTTGTGACCACCATCCCTGCATCTACACCCAAAACCCCCTTCCTGTACAGCTCGCTCTTTTTGTTTTGGCTTCTCTGTTTGCTCCAAGACTGGTGATTTATTTGCTTCTTTCTTTTTGCACATGTGTAGATGTGAGTTTGCATGTGTGTGGGCACATGTATAGATGTGGGTGTGCACATGTGTGGGCACATGTACGTGTGTGTGTGTGGGCACATGTGTGGGCACATGTGTGTGGGGGGTGGCACATGTGTGTGCACATGTGGGCACATGTGCCTGTAGGTGGAAGCCTGAGGCTGGCTCCCTCCATTGCTCTCCACCTTGCTCGATGAGGCAGAATGCCAGAACCCAGACCTTGACAAAAGGTCTAGTTCATCTAGCCATCGTGCTCCAGGGACCCCCACTCCGCCTTCCAAGCTCTGAAACCACAGGTGTGCTGCTATACCTACCCGGCATTGACATGGGTGCTGGGGATCTGAACTCAGGTCTTTGCACTTGTGTGGAAAACACCCATCCCTCCAACACTGGTATTCCTTGAGTTCTGGTTCTCTCATCTCCCGACTCTTTTCACTTGCTCTTACCAATCCTCTTTGTTCCCGATGCATGCAATTTACCTGAATTCTGGATCCTTAATTTTCTCTGGCCCTGGATGTCTGTCCATGGTCCCCTTTTGGCATCTCAGATTTGAATATGTCCAAAGCTCAACTCATAACCTCAAGAGAGCCCTTCTAAATTCCTCATTCTTAGGAATGACTCCTTACCAACATGCTAGTCTATATGTGTTTCCCTTGGGTAGGGATGATGAATATATCTTACTAGCCTGGGTAACTCTGATTTATCAGTATGGTCTATCTGGAGTGCCATGCTGGCCTTGTTGGTGATCATTGCTGCTATGATTGATTGGAAATGTCTGCCTTGGTCACACTAACGGGAAGGTAGTGATATAATCATTTGCCCTCTGCCTGCCCATCTTAGAGCTTTTGTAAGGGAGTAATAGGTTAACAAACGGCAATATTGTTGACTTCTTTAAAGGGTCTGCCATCCAAATTGGATCCTCGCTGCTGGGAGCAAAACATCAAATAAACAATATGAGATGAAAGAAATGGGTCACAAAATTCTTATACCCCAAGCTAAAGGACATTGGATTTTCAGTGAGGGACTGTGTAGTTTTTATTTTAGCAACATGGAATTGGCTTCCTGTGGCACAGGCCTGGAGAGTGACGGAAGCTTTGTCATTTGTAAGCAGGGCATTCATGGTGAAGGAAGACTTGCACAAAAGAGATGATTTATACGCATCTTCTTTTTGTTCCCAGCAGACTTACCAGAAATAGAGCAGGAAGCAGAAGTTGGGCAGAGTCACAGCGAACTGCAGCCATCGCCAGTGGGGAAGGGCATAGGCCACGCCCGCCAGTATCAGGAGCCCAACGGTAAAGGCCACTTGGTAACAAATCCCCACTGTCCTGCGATAGCCCAGGCCAACGAATTCTGTAACTAGAGGAAAGAATCCGCATGGTCGGCAAGATGAGCTAAAGCTGGCTCCCAACCTTAAGGCAGCCACAAATGCCCAGCTCAAAGATATAGGCTTAATTTAGGATTTTCTACACAGCTCTCTGAGCCACTTAAAATGTGTGCGCGCGCGTGCGTGCGTGCGTGCGTGCGTGCGTGCGTGCGTGCGTGTGTGTGTGTGTGTGTGTGTGTGTGTGTGTGTAGTGGTGGTGGACATCTTGCTGCAGTTATTGCTATTGTATTAATTATAAACTTGCACTAACTGAACCTTGTTAGCAAACTGAGCAAAACCATTTGACTTATAAAATAACATTAGCCATGAGGCTGGGCATGGTACCTTCTGCCTATAATCCCAGTACTTGGGAGGCAGAGGCAGGAGGATTCCTTTAAGTTCAAGGCCGTTCTGGACTACATACATGTTTTTGTATCAAAAAAACCAAAAACAAAAATAGCAACAAAAACAAAAAGAGAATTTCAGGGGCTGGAGAAATGGTTCAGTGGTTAAAAGCACCTGCTGCTTTTGCAGAGGACCTGGGTTCAGTTCCCAGCACCCATGTTAGGTAACTCACAGCCACCTTAAACTTTAATTCCAGTTTCAGGGGGTCTGATACCCTCTTCTGGCCTCCACGGGTACTTGCTCATGTGCTGCATATACACATGCACACACATAAATGAAAATAAAATAAAATAAAATGAAAATACTTTAAAAATTTCAAGGATGAATGTAATCATAGTTCACACAAATGCAAGATTTTGTAATATATCAATCAGGCAGTGACAACTCAAGGCATGAACAAATGAATTAAAAACTGAATTTGTGTCGTGGATGCTTCATATATAAATGAACATTTACATGCAAGTTGTTCTCTTACAGAGATAAATACTTTGCAATTCTGTTTATTTAAGGACTTAGAAATCCTGTGGTAGGCTGGGATCAGCTAGTACTAGCTTAAATAATTCATTTAAAAACTTTGCAAATGAGTTGTTGAATACATATCTATTTTGAAACCTTCATGGTGGGTGTAGCTAAGGCTTAGAAAGTAGAAAACATACAACAAGGACTTGTTATATCCTTTGAGAAGCAAGTTCTCAGCCACCATTGTACATGGAGGAATGATCCACTGTATTTATGGCTCCATGTCTGCATCATGACAGACATATGGGGTCTGTATTCAGGGAGCTGGGAGTTCTTTTTATATGACAGACATGCTAGAATTGGAATTTCACATGTCCCACAAGCCGCAGTCCTTGCTTAAATGTCTCACAGACCTGTTAAGGACTTTAATTATTTCCAATCCGATGGACATACATGTTAAACCTGTTTCTATAAGTTACTGCAAACCATCTAAACATTTTTTAAATGGCTGATTTAATTAAAATGCACAGGTCTTCCATAAATGCAAGTGTCTATCTTTCAAAGTGGCTGGGGTCCTGGATGGGGCTTGGGAGAGAGATGTGGGGTTGGGGATGGGGAGGAGCCACAGGAAGGCATCAAAGACTCCAGGATATTCACAGAGACTTCGAAAGAAACGAGTTGTAAAAGGTTGTGATTAATGACAAAATGCACATCTGCATAATTAAATTCTACTCAGTGTCTTCTAGAAACCAAATTATTGGTTGAATAGCTGCATGCATTAAGCCTTTCATCCACCAACCATTTATTATTTTTCTTTTCTGGAGGAAATAATGTTCTCTCTCAGCCCTGAAATTCCTCAGATTTGTATACTAGGTTAAAAAAACAACAACAACTATGTAAGCACATGTTCTATTTACCTCTTGTGCAATGAAAGTTTCAGTCTTATTCCCTTAATTCCAAAGTGCTCGGTTCCCAAATGTAGCCAAAAGGATATGATTGTGGAGCTTTCCAAGATTTAACTAGGTGACGATTTTTCACAACTGCGAGATAGACACTATGCTATGGAATCCAAGCATACTTTTGTGCCTTGTGGACTTTAATTGTAACTCTGGCTACTAGTAAGTAAATTATAGCCCTGACTTTACAGCACGTTTTCTATTTTTCTTTCAGTCCACGACCCCTGCTCATAGAATGGCACTGCCCACAGTGAGGGTGGGTCTTCCTCCCCGGGTTAGCCTAATCTAGATAATCTCTCACAGGCATGCCAAGGCCTTTCTCCTGGGTGATTTCAGCTCTTGATGAATAACCAGGGTCCACCACCATGACTGTGTCCTTCGCTAGTCCTTGAGTTTAAGTCCAAGTAGTTGATGAGAACAGACGAAGTACAGTAATAAATTCCCTTACATTCCAAACACATCTCTTATCTTGGAGTCTTTTTGCCTGAATAGGTTTGGTATAGGCTAGACTTTCTCTCCATATAACAACCCAGGGATCAGAAACCAAAAATTTCAATTTCTGGGTGTTGTGGTGATTCTGTGCTCACTGTTTTCTGTTCATAGGAGGAACACAGAGTGAAGTGACTGGGTGTTTTAAAAAATTCTTTAGGTACAGAATAAAAATCAGCATTGTCGTTCCACCCAGGCTCCACCAGACTAAAAGTCCCCATGTGCATCCATCCAGCAGCACCTCAAGCCCTCTTACTCAGGATGTAGCCGATTAACCAGCCCGCTTTGCTGACCAGTCCCTGGAGGAAGCGAAACACCAACATCCAGGCATAGTTGGGGGAAACTGCCATGAGAACCCCGGAGGTAGCGTTGATGAGGATGGTGACCAAGAGGCAGAACTTCCGGCCAAACCTATGGAGAAGAACCCAGAGAGGGCCCGGAATTAGTTGGTCTATTAATTCCTTCTCCTAGCACTGTGACAAATACCTGGAGAGATCAGCCTGTGGGTGGAAGAAAGGATTTATTTTAGCTCACCATTCTAGGGTACAGCACCCCATAGAGGGGCAGTCAGGGCAGCTTGAGGCAGCTGGCCACATTGCACCTGTAATCAGGAAGCGGAGGGTGGGGAGGGCTGGTGCTTAGCCCACCATCTCTGTTTCATTAATCCAGGACCCCTGCTCCCAGAGTGATGATGCCCACAGTCAAGGTGGGTCTCCCTACTTCAGTTAACCTAGTCTACATAAGCCCTCCTGTCTTCTAGGTGATCCTAGATCCCAACCAGCTGACAATATGATCCACCACAGTTGGATTCATGGAAGTGGAGAAGATTCACAGACGTTAGGTCAGTTCACAGTTCTGGAGGTGTGGATTGATACCCCACCTCCCCGGTTCACACATAAGTTCTGTTCTGTTTAGTAAACTTTGGGAGGCTACATGGATAAAGTTAAAGCGCATTGAGCTCCCTCACCCAGGTACTGTGGCTGCTCTTCTGGGAGAGGTTCGCTCCTTTGAGACCATCCAGGGCTGGGTGACCTATAAGTCTAGTCAGGTCATAATCTACAACCCGGGAGCTTGGTACTAAAGTCCCAGCCAACTGCCCATCTAAGAAAGTCTCTACTTTGGTTTCCCACAGTTATCATTCCCACAGCATCCCACATCCTGGTGGGATGACTTCCATATTTTTATTGGAAGAACTCAGGTTTCATCAGTCTGGGAACCAGGAGAGTTGACCAAGAGGAAAGGGATGGTCACTGGGGTTTAACTCTGACCTCACTACTTACTGTAACGTTGGGTAAGTTATTCAACATTAGTACATTTCTTCACATTGAAAAAAACAACTGACTATCTAGAGAAGGGGAGTCCATGAGGTATTATATAGAGAGAGCCCAGGACCTTGTCCTCCTTGCTCACAAAGCTGATGCTATGGTTTGTCCCCCAAGGACTCATGTATCAAGATCTTGGTCCTCAGTGTGGCAATGTTGGAAACTAATGAATTCTGAAGAGGCAAAGCCTGATGGGAGGTGCTTTGGTCATTGGGGACACTGCCTTTGGAAGAGAACAAAGTGGTTCTCTGGGGTCCTCAATTAGTTCTTTGTATGCTTTTTTTTTTTTTTTTTTTTTGTGTGTGTGTGTGTGTGTGTGTGTGTGTGTGTGTGTGTGTGTGTGTGCGTGTGTGTGTGTTTAAACCAGAGACTAACCTCAGGCGTTATTTCTCAGATGCTGTTCACCTTGCTTTTTGAGATAGGATCTTTCCCTAGCCTGGAGCTCACTAAGTAGTCTGGCTGGCTGGCTATTGAACCCCAGGGTGTCTGCCTCCTCAGTGTTGGAATTCAAGTATACACAACCATGCTTGGTTTAATATTTTTCACTTACTATTTTATTTTATGTATATGTGTGTTTTGCCTGCCTGTATGTTTGTGTACCACGTGCATGCCTGGATACCCACAGAAGTCAGAAGAGGGCATCGGATCCCTAGTACCGGAGTTACTGGTGGCTGTGAGCCTCCACGTGGGTGCTGGGAATCGAACCTGGGTCCTCTGCAAGAGGGAAAGTGCTCTTAATTGCTGATTCAACCCTCTTCCATTCTCCCCACCACTGCTTTTTAAACATGCATTCTGGTGATAGAATTCAGACCCTCAAAAGGACCAAGAAGACACCTTAACAGGCTGCTCAGTCTTCTCTCAGAGATCAGGCCTCAATTTCAGTTTCCTGAGACTCGAGCAAGCAGTTTTCTGGGAGGGCCGTGAACAAAAGACATAGTCCTTGCAGTAGCTCCCTTTCTGCATGTACTCATACTCTGACTGCTCAAGGTTCAGCCAGTTGTTTACTGTATGGGACCCTCACCAACTTGTAGCTACATGCATGGCTCAATGTGAACGTGAAAAGTCAGCCAGCCTCCATGGCAGCTCAAGGACAGAGCCTGGGACTTGTCCAGGCCTGCCGAAAAATGATAACTGTAACCCCCAACCAGTAACTTCAAAGGTTACACACTCTCACCCAATCATATGATACAAAGGCTTGTACCACCCTGCTTGTAGTTTTTCCCTTTAAAAACCCCTCACCCTGAGAGTTCAGGGCTGTCCTCCTCCATCTGCTGTGTCCAGTGTTGGACACGGACCAAGCCTGGGCTTGCTTGTTATCGATAAACCCCTGTGTGTTTTGTATGGATACAGGCTCTGTGGTGGTCTTGTGGGGGGATCTTGCGACATGAGCACAACACTCATGTGTACAGGCTTGACCTAGGCTATGTTACACAGAGGTGTCTCCAAGATGCACACTATGCTGTGTGTTGGATATAGTGTTTGCTAGTTAAAAAAAACGAGGTTTCTGGGCTACATGCTGCTTTGATAGAACTGCTTCTGATAGTTGATGGTACACATAGCTCCAGACCCAGTGGTAAGCTGTACCACCACCATGTTGGGAAGCTGAGGTGGATGGAGCCAGCAGTCACAGCACCGTTTCAGTCTTAGAATGCTGCAGTTTAAAGCAAAAGGTTCACAATAAGAAAGATTCAGATGGAATAGTTTACAGTGTGTGTAAAATATACGTAGGCTTGAAAAAGACAAAAAAGGAATATATACAGTTATATAAAGAAATAGATAGTTTTTTAAAAAACAAAGTCTTTAAAGAGAAAGTAAAAGTAATATAAAAGTAAGCTATGTAAAGATGGATATCACGCAGAGAACTGGATTATGTTGTCTTTGATATTCTTAACTGCAGAAAGGCATTTGATTGTAAAAGCTGTTGAGTTAAGCCAATATGTATATTTTAAAGATACCTTGACTTCAAAATTTGGATTGAAGGATATGTTGCTTTGGAAAGGAGGCTCAGCTTTTGTTTCCACAGAAAGCCAGAGGCTATGGATTTGTTCCAGATTAAGATATATCAGGTTTGACTAGCCAAGACCCCCTGAAAGGTCTTTGATGACACCATGACCTAGATGATCCAACATCCAGAACAGTTTCAAGGCAATTGGCTCAGACAATACACCCTCACGGACTACTCCATAATCCTAAAATTTTTGTTGTGTCCCCTTAAGATACAGTAGGAAGTAGTAAGAGAAGCTACACCCAAATTCCCAAATATACCAAGCTGTCTTTGGAGATGGAATTGGCTCACTCCTTCTCTAAATCCAAGCATATTACTAAAAGAAAAGGTTAAGAGATTATTGTGTCCCTCTGGTGTGGGACAGAAAAAAAAACCCAATATTTTTATTTACAATAGGTTGATTATAAATACAATCTCTTTCTAAAGAAAGGGGGATAGTATGGATAATGATAAGATGAAAGAATAGATTATTAAATCTACTTTTAAAGACTAACAACTTGTTTAGAAGTGTTTTACATTGCTATAGATTTTAGTTTATTGATACAAATTTAGAGTTGATTTTGTTATACTGTATATATATTTCTACTCTCATTTGAGGTATTATGTTTATGTATCTCATTTAGATTGTAATGGATAATTAAGAAACAGATTAATAATTAGTCTTCTATGATAGTCAAACTTGTAACATGTTAGTTAAGTTTTCTAGGTATACATAGATAGATTTCAGATAGATAAATCTTCAAACACTTCAAAGACCTACAGAATATGGCATTTAAAATGTTTTTAAAAATTTAGACTTTCTGGATAATGAGACATGTCTGTTCCAGGCAGCACTGATTTACTTCAGAGAGGAGGATGGGCATTGAAGACACTCTATATGGAGCTTTTCTTCTTGGAAAAAAATAGCCATTTGGGCAAGAAACTGTTCTTGCTTGGACTACTTGATCTACTGGACATGCAGGACCCATAGGAAGGTGACCACTAAACTTTGCTTGGAGAAATGGTCCTTCAGGTTCCTGCTTTGCAGAGGAAACTGCCAGACATTCTACAGGACACAGAGAGAAGTGACTGAGAGACTTTAGGCCTGTGGGCTGAAGACAGATGCCCCAACTTTACAAAAAAACTTTGAATGACTGTTCAGGCTGCCAGCTGTCTCTGTCTACTCTTGCAAGACTCTCAAAAGTTGCTTGCATCCTTTTCCCATTTCCCAAGTAATAGTATATCCTTCTGAGGTCTTTGATGTAATTGAAGACTAGATAGAATTTTCTCAGTTATGATAAGAGATAAGTTAGATATAAAACCTTAGACTCACAAATATAGGATAGATAGGATATCTTCTTTAATATTGTAACTGTAATTCTTGCTTGATAATTGTTTTGTTATCTGCAATTTTACTATGTGAAAGTTAAAACCTTCCTTTTGAAAGAAAGAAAAGGGGAAGTGCTGTGGGATGTTCTGTATGTTAAATGTGTTGCTCTGATTGGTTAATAAATAAAACACTGATTGGCCAGTAGCCAGGCAGGAAGTATAGGTGGGACAAGCAGAGAGGAGAATGCTGGGAAATGGAGGACTGAGGCAGAGAGACGCTGCGAGCCACCGCCATGACAAGCAATATGTAAGCCATGAGCCACGTGGCAACCTATAGACTAATAGACATGGGTTAATTTCAGATAGAAAAACTAGATAACAAGAAGCCTGCTGTGGCCATACAGTGTGTAAGCAATATAAGTCTCTGTGTGTTTACTTGGTTGGGTCTGAGCAGCTGCAGGACTGGTGGGTGAGAGAGACTTGTCCTGACCGTGAGCCAGGCAGGACCAGAAAATCTCCAGCTACAAAATACTTATGTGGCAAGCTCTCTCACCGAGCTGTTGTAGACTATTAATTCAAGGTGTGTTACTTTTGTTTATGCCCTGGAACGTTAGTTTAATGATGCAAAGATGTGTTTAATTAAATAAAATTCACCTGTGGTCTGGAGGCTGAGTCAGCAACTAGCTGACAGGAAGTAGCAGGGAGGAGCCAGGTGAGAAAGGGTTTGTAAGGAGGGGTGAGGGGGAGCGTGGGGGCTTTTTGGAGGAGTCGCAAGG